CGGCGGGGAGGCGTTTGCGCGGCACTGGGAAGGCATTCCCGTGGCTCATGAACACGACGAAATCTGCTGGCCCGACCTAGGGGGCAACGTGGTTAGCGTTTCAGGGCCCGCAGAGGATCCGTGGCTCATACACCTTGGTTTGGAGGGAATGAACGACTCATGGTCAGAACGACCCTGTGCCTGGGCCAGATGGCATTGCGCAATATTGCTGGACATCCCCGGCCCCCATCGCCTTCCCGCGCAGTCTTCACCGCTGCTTTTTTGACGGGAAGGTGAGCGGACCCCTTGCCAGCACGCGAGAGACGTCGTTAGTCTCCACTGTTATGGCCCGCCACCCCACGGATGTCACTTCTGCCCCGTCTCGTTTTCCCAGCGCTTGCCGCCGTCTTGCCATGTCCGAAGCGGACTGCAAGATTATGTCGATGGCGTTCTCCTGGAGTTTGGCCCTGGCAGCCCGTGATGCGGCTTTCAAGGCCCAGGCGCGTCTGAAAAGGTTGTTTTTGATTGATCAGAGATCTGAAGGCTGAAGTTCGGGCGACGCGACAGCACGTGCTCGGGGTTGATCTCGCCCGCATGTTTCTCGCCGATTTGGCCGCTGCGTTTCGGGGCCTCGCGACATCTCGGTTTCGCCAACACGGATTGCAAGATTTACGTCGATGGCGTTTTTTGGGAGGGTGTTTTTAGCAGCCCGCCATACTGTTTCCAAGGTCCAGGCGTGTCTGACACGGCTGTCCATGACTGATCATATATTTGGAGGCTGAAGTTCGGGGGGGGGCCCCCCCCAACAGCACATGCCCAGGGGATCTCGCGCGCATGTTTCTCGCCGATGTTGCTGTTGCGTTTCGGGGCCTCGCGACATGTCGTCTTCTCCGGGCCGTGATTTCGACGCCGATTCACCGTGAAATTCCATGTTTCTTGAGGCGCTCGATTCGGAGAGCTGCAGGATTTTCTGCTTCGGCGGCCAGCCGCATCCTTGCATCGACATCCAGAGGGGAGCTCGCCAGGGAGACCCATGAGACCCATACACCATGTTTCTCTTCGCTCTTGCGCCGGGCCCATGCATCAGATGGCCGACGCCAGACTTCAGCGACAGATCATGGGATGCGCCGATGGTCTTTGGTTCGGGCTTCGGAACGTTGCCCTGGAACTACCTTTCTGCTCCTGCTCCAATCGTTGGATGTCGGTTTCGGGCTTCGGTTTGGCCCATGGAAACGCGTGCAAGTTTTGTAGTGCTCCCCCGAACAACTCGGCATGCACGGCGTCTCTTGGACTCTCTTGAGAAAGGAGCCGAGGATATCCAATCCGTTCGTCATACGAGGTATCTGGGGATTCAGATCGGGCCTGATGGATGGAATGCTGCCTGGAACATCAGGCGGGGCAGCTGCAAAGTGCGCTCGCGGCCCCATGCGCCCGAGCGACGCCCGACGTTCAGGGGGCCAGCGGACGCGGGCGGAGGGCTTCCGGGGCAGAGCCGGACCAGCCTCCACAGCCCTCGCCAACCGCAACCCCATGCGCCCAAGCCCGAAGCGCGTAACCGGCGGCCGCCGCACTCGCCTGATCAGGGAGCCGTTGCGGATAGGCGGTTGTTGATCCACCCTATACCGTGGGCGCGCGAGTTGCTCCCCTCTCCCCTGTGATCGTTTGCGGCGCGGCCCTCGATCTGGCGACACCGAAGGAGACGCCGGCCGACCATCTTCTAGTGGCAGGACAGACGCTCGCGATAGGTCTCGGGTGTCATTACCACTGTGACCGCGCGGTTTCCGCTCCTCCTGCGCGCCGCAGGTTTTCGGTGAAGTCGATTGGGTTGTTTGCTTGGTGGGGCTCGCGTTTTTGCCTTTTTTGCTCCGCTTGTGCCCTTATGTTTGCTCCTCTGCTGCTTTTGCTCTTCCCCGCTGTTGCTGCTTCGCGCCCTCTCCCGCGCGCCCCTGTGGTGCTGGTCCGCTGCGTTGGCGCCGCTGCCTGCGCGTTGAGGCGTTCGGTCTGGTCCTTCGCCTGGCTCGGACCCTGAGAGCCTGTCATCGTGGCGCGGGGGCGTCACTCTGTTTCTGCGATACGTTTGCCCTCTCCGTTCTGCGTTTCTGCACCGACCTGCTCTCTCGCTCTTTTTGCATCGTGTCCCCCCAGCGCCGCCACATGTGCATCTTCGGCGGTTTCGCCGAAAGCCTCTCTCGCTGCCTTGTCTTTTCGGCAGATTTCCGCGGTCGCTCTTCGGCCTTCTGGGGCTTGCGGGTTGCCTGACACAGGTACTGTCGACACGGCATTTGCGGGGTTCTGCTCAGCCACCGCTTGTTTTTGCTCTTTCCTGCGCACGGCAGGTTTTCGATGCAGCATCGGCACTGCCGCCCAGCTCCGTCACCCCCTCGGCCACCTCGAGCGCCTCGGAGGAGGAGGAGGAGGGCCGCCTCGAGCGCGGTCACTGGCTTAGTTGCTGATCGCCCCCGGTCACTCCGCCCTTCTCTGCTCGGGCGTCCACTGCCTCTGACTCGCACGCCGAGCTGTTGCTGAAGGGGTTGCTTTACGAACGTTGCTGTTTCATCGTGGCCGCCGGTCCGCTGGAGGGAAGTTGTATAACAAAAGATATGAGCATCACCATCGCCAGCGACATAATCAGCATCACCATCACCATCACCATCATCATCATCATCATCATCATCATCATCATCATCATCATCATCATCATCATCGTCATCATCGTCATCATCAACATCATCATCGTCATCAGCAGCATCAACATCATCAGCATCATCATCATTCACGCCCACTTCGGTGGCGCAGCCCGCACATGTTGCGCGACCCCGTCGGGAACTCCACCGAAGGCCCAAGTGGCACCGTTCGCACTTGGGGGTCGCATCCGTTTTCGGCACACCCCTCACACGCTTCGTGTTTCCATAGGGAGCTCCACCGCAAGCCACAGCTGCAAACTCCGCACGTGGGCGTCGCACCCCTTTTCTACACGCCCCCCTTGTGTTGCGTGGCCACATAGGGAAATCCACCGAAGGCTTCAGCTGCACTGTTCGCATGTGGTCGTCGCACCCCTTTACACACACATACACACACACACACACACACACACACACCACGCTTCGGGGTCCCATACGAGCCCCACCGAAGGTTCCAGTGGCACCAGTTGCACGTGGGCGTCGCACTCCTTACGGTACACCCCTCGCACGCTTCGTGGCCCCATGGGGAGCCCCACCGAAGACAACAGGGGCACCGTTCGCCCGTGGGCGTCGCACCCGTTTTCCGCACACCCCTCACACGTGTCGAGGCCCCACACGGGGTTCCACCGAAGGCCCAAGTGACACCGTTCGCACGTGGGCGTCGCACTCTTTCTCGGTACACCCCTCACACGCCTCGTGGCTCCATAGGGAGCTCCACCGATGGCCCCGGGGGCACCACTCTTACTTGAGCGTCACATTCCTTTCGGCACACCACTCACACGGTTCGCGGCCCCATTGGGAGCTTTACCGATGGCCCTGGTGGCACCGTTCGCATGTGGGCGTAGCAGCCGTTCTGGCACGCCCTTCGCACGTTTCGGGACCGCACGGGGCTTTCCAGGGAAAGCCCCCCGGGGCACCTTTGCATGTGAGCGTCGCACCCTTTTCGGTACACCCCGCCCACGGGGCCCCATGGGGGGGTTCACCGAAACCTCCGAGGGCACTGTTCGCACGTGTGCGTCACACCCCTTTTCGCACGAGCCTCACACGCGTCGTGGCCCCGTAGGGGGGCTCCACCGAAGGCCCCAGTGGCAGCGTTCGAATGTGGGCGTCGCACCCTTTTCGGCGCACCCCTCACAAGCTTCGGGACCCCATAGGGAGCTAAGAAGGTCCCAGTGGCAAACTCCACATGGATCAGTCCCTTTTCGGTGCACCATTCACACGTTTCGTAGCCCCCATCCCCCCGTGTTCCATTCCGTCTACGGCGCGTTACCTATGAGGAGAGGGTCATATCCTGCGACATTCCAAATTGCATATGGTTGGGTCCCTTGCCAGGCTACTTGTTGAATCCTTCGGTTCCCCAATCGTTCCACCCATGCGCCGCGGATGGCTTTTTGTTCTAGATAGTTTTCTGATGGCCCCAGAGCCCCAAAAAGCTACCCCCCAAAGCCCGAGGCAATGTCAAAACGATGGGGTCAAGCAAAATCAATCAGCCGACGTTGACATCGACGACGACGACGACGACGACGACGACGACGACAAGGACGACTAGGACGACAACAACGGCTGCCCGCCAACCAAGTCCCATCGGCATTCCACGGTATGACGAAGACGACGGGGACGACCACGATGACCGCCGCCGCCGCCGCTCTCCGCCGCCGCCTGTCAGAAGCCAGGCGAAGGCTGGCAGACCCGTGGCTGCCAAAACGGAGCTCCGGGAAATTGTGTTTTCTTCTCTTCCGAGAAGCAGCCCGTTTACGATTTCGTGCGTTGAGCCTTTGATTCCGGGAATATGTTTTTTCTTCTTCCGGGAAGACCGTCTTAGCAGCCACGGATTTGCCAGCCCTCGCCCAGTTTCCGCCTCCTGCCCAGACCACCGAGGGCACCCGCAGGCCGTTTCGCTCGAGACATCCTCGAAATTCTAGGGGGGCCTTGAGATGCCGCGCGCGGGGTGGTCCAGGCCGTTTCGTTCGAGACATCCTCAAAATCCTAGGCCTTGAGATGCCGCGCGCGAGGTGGTCCAGGCCGTTTCCGCTACCTGGGCCAGGCTCCCCGAGCAGTGCTTGCATTGAGGCGTTCTTGCTTTGCTCTCCAAGTTCCGGAAAGCTTGAACCGAAACAAATAAGGGCGCCAGAGACGGGGGCACAGCAAACGGGGGTATGGAGAACGCCGATTTCCACGTTTGGCTATGCTCCCGTTTAGGGGTCCCTGGGCGCCGTAGACGGGGAAAAGTCTAAGCCCCCTCAACCCCCGTTCACGAAGCCCCGACAAAAAAATGGGATGCCGTGCCTGAGAAGCGCCGCCGACGACGGCCACCGACGCCACCGACCGCACTCCGCCGAGGTCGCCCCCGCGGTGCTCCACGGCGCCCGCCGGCGCCGCCGCCCAGCCCGGCCCCTCCACGCCCCGGCGCGCCGCGAACACCGTGCCGACGCGCGACACCGGGGAGACCGGGCCGCCGCCTCCGCCTCCTCCTTCTCCGCCTCCCCCATCCTCCTCCTCCTCCCCCCCCTACTCCTCCCCCTCCTCCTCCCCTCCTCCTCCTCCTCCTCCCCCCCCTCCTCTCCTCCTCCTCCCTCCTCCTCCTCCTCCTCCTCCTCCTCCTCCTCCTCCTCCTCCCTCCTCCTCCTCCTCCTCTCCTCCTCCCTCCTCCTCCCCCCCTCCTCTTCCTCCTCCTCCTCCTCCTCCTCCTCCCCTCCTCCTCCTCCTCCTCCTCCTCCTCCCCCTCCTCCTCCTCCTCCTCCTCATCCTCCTCCTCCTCCTCCTCATCCTCCTCCTCCTCCAGGGAGGCCGGGCCGCCAGACCGCTCGCCGCGGCCAGGTTTTTAAGTCGGGCGCATCCCTCTGCAGGAGGGATATTCAAGAACAGTCCAGATTTCGTAATAAAAGGGAGGGGGTCTGGACCCTCCAAGACAAGCCATTTCAGACCTCCCCCGTGGGAGAACCCTCCAAAACATCGTCCCCAGACCCCCCCAGGCCCTCCAAGATAGCCTGGAAGAGACCCCCCCCGAAATGAGACCCCCCTCCTTTTATTACGAAATCTGGAGTAGTCAAGAGAAAGTTAAGGGACGATGTTTCTTGTATTTTTGACTATTTTCGAACATGTTTGGTATACAGTGGGGGGCGTATCAAGAAACTGTCCGCTTTTCGTCAGGGTATCCTGGGTTCCTTCGTTCCTCGCGCTGCGTGGTGACTTCCCGCGGGCGTTGAAGGAGCTGCTGCGTTCAGGGTGCTCCAAGTTTCACCTCAGGTGCACCTCGCGCACGGGTTCTCAGGGTTGCGTTTCCCGCGAGGGTTTTTTGCGGCCGCGCTCGCATTTTATTTATCAGTTGTCATCCAAAATCCGCCTGTAGGAGGACATGCCCGACTGTAGGCCAGGTTCGGTGGCCTTCGGACGGGGGTCAATTGAGACGGGGGCCAGAGCGCTCGATCTTGCGGGATCCTGCAGGGCCAGGGTCGCATTAAGCCGGATTTTGGGTGCAGGATCCTGCAGGATCCTGCGCGTTGGCCCGGGCTTGGGTGCAGGATTTTGCAGGATTCTGCAGGTCCTAACTGACCCGGGCTTGGATTGACCCGGGTCAGAAGATCCCCGACAGGTCCCCTAGAGGCCAGGGCGCAGGCTGTCTGGGGGGTCACGATAGGGTCCGGTCGGGCGTGTCCCTCTCCAGGAAGAACAGTCAAGAATAGTCCAGAAATTGTCTGGTGACGATTTCTCGTGCTCTGCCTGTCATACCAAAGGCATTGTTCGACCATTATTCGTTTGTCTGTCAAAATCCGCCTGTAGGTGGACATGTTCGACCTAACGATAGTGGGGGCAAGCATAGTGGGGGAGCATCGACCTGGAATCGGCGATACATCGCCGATAGATCGGCGATACGCCCCGATAGAGTTCCTGAGCGGGGCGGGGCTATCAAACCCCTATCGACGATCAATGGGCGATCGAGGGTCGATGCATTCCCCCCCTACGCCTATACTTACCCCCTTGTCGTTGCCCCTGGCTAACCAGCAGATTGGCCAAGTCGGGGAAATGACACCCTTTCCCTGCAAAGTCAGATGTGGTCGTCCGGTGCAGTTGTCCCTGCTGCGCAGCAGGATTCGAGTCTTTGTCCGGGTCTAGGGGGCAGATGTTTACGGGCCTTTGTCCAGGCTTATTCCAGGAATGTTGCAATGCAGCTTTTGTTTAGTTGGAGCCGTGTGGAAATTATCTTGTCGAAGGACCCAACCATATGCAGTTGTGAGCACCACGTTGTGGCCATCGCTTGCGTTGGAGCTCCCGATGGGACCACGAAGCGTGCGAGGGGTGCGCCGAAATGGGTGGGGAACCGCATGCGAATTGCGCCTCGGAGGCACTCGATGGAGCTCCCTATGGGGCCGCGAATCGTGTGATGGGTGTGCCGAAATGAGTGGGGATCCGCATGCGAACTTCGCCACGGAGGCACTCGGTGGAGCTCCCTATGGGACCGCAAAACGTGTCATGGGTGTACCGAAACAAGCGTGACGCCCGCATGCGAATTGCGCCACGGGGGCACTCAGTGGAGCTACTTCTGGGGCCAGGAAACGCGTGAGGGGTGTGCCGAAAAAGGCGTGACGCCCACATGCGATCGCGCCACTGGGACCTTAGCTGGAGCTGCCCATGGGGCCACGAAACGTGTGAGGGATGTGCTGAAACGGGGGTGACGCCCACATGCGAACTGCGTCACTGGGACCTTTGCTGGAGCACTCTATGGGGCCACCAAGCGTGTGAGAGGTTAGCTGAAACGGGGGTGACGCCCACACGCGAATTGCGCCATTGGGACCTTAGCTGGAGCTCCCTCTGGGGCCACGAAGCGTGTAAGCGGTGTACCGCAACGAGGTGAGAGGAGGATGGAGGGGGCAGCGGGAGGAGGAGGGACGTGGGGCGCTGTCTCTTCACAGCCAGAACCCAACACCACAGGATGGTTGGGGAAAATTGGTTTCGAAGGATGTTGGATATCTGAGTCTAACGTATCCGGGTTTCACGCGGCCCTGACGTTGCCAGACCCCCTTCAGGTCATGAAAAAATCACGACGGCCGGTTTTCGCTGCACTGTGCGGCCTCTGGGGGCCTTCGCCGGGCCCAGGACCGTGAAACAACGATTCGGGACGAAGAACCGGTTCCGGGGGAGTGGGTCCAGACCGTTGGGGTCCACGTCACGAAAAAGTCTTCACGTCGGAGGTCTGGGTTCCCAGACGTCATCGGACAGCTGACGTTGTGGCTTTTGCCTCGTAGCATGGCTCCCCAGAGGTCGGGTCCTAGTCCCAGAAACGGCTTGTCGTCTGGGGGCCAGTCATGGGTTCCCGGAAGCAGAACATGCTCCAGAAGTTCCGTCGCGCTCGTTTCACGAGGCGAGGACGTCGGATTCGTCGTCTCGTCGTCGCCGTTCGTCGCTGTCCTCGTTGCCATCGAGGACAACGACGCTTTTGGGAGATCCTGGAGCGAGGCTCGAGGCGAGGATGTCGCCGTTCGTCGTCTCGTCGTCGCCGCTCGTCGCTGTCCTCGCCGCCCTCGAGGACAGCGACGCCTTTTGTTGGGAGGTCCCGGAGCGAGGCTCGAGGCGAGGATGTCGCCGTGCGCCGTCGCCTTGCCGCCGCGTCGCCGGTTGCCTGTGTCGTCGTCGTCGTCGTCGAATGGAGATTCGGCACGAAAGAAATGGGTACAGTCATCCCGCATAGTAAGGATGGGCAACCTTCCCAAGGGTCCTCTTGCATCCTTGCCTCCTCGGTCTATCCTTGGCCGCTTTGGCTGGCCAACCTCGTTCGAAAAACGTTAACGTGGCATCCTTATTATACGGGTTGACCGTACGGAAAGAATGGGTACAATGCCCAACAGCAGTTCATGATCATTTTGAACAGGACTCGCTGTCGGTGTCGCCAAAGTGTCCTGGAGAATGTCGTTCCGGATTTCGAAGCGAATCTCGTGCGGATCTTTCTCGGCCAGGAATGAAGATTTTAACACATCCACATGAAATTCACTTTGTTTTTCGCACGCCGTTTCGGGGTTTTGCATTGACAGAAACCCACGCCAAAAATCCGCTGCAGCACGTCTGCAAGCTCGGTGCATACTATCGATGTCGTTTCGCGGAGGGAACAGTGGGGGCCCATGCCAAGAAACACCCTGATTGCCTCCAGGGTGCCCTGGGTTTCTTGGGTTTCGGTGGTTTTGCAATGGAAAGCGTGACCTTCCCATACAAAAAGTCAACAAACGTCCTGGGGGGTGGGTTTCTTGTGGAAGGTTTCTTGTGGACTGGCCTCCACTGTAATGTTCTTCGAGCTTGTTGGATGTTCTTGTGCATCCTGGGGGAGTGTGCCCTCGAATGCTTTTCACTCTGGCCGGCGAAGGGTCTCATTCGATTGTCCTCAAGACGTGTGTTAGCCCAACGTGTGTTTCCCCCGTACAGCCCAACTAGTAGATCACTACATCGCCTGCGTCGTATCGAAGGGCTTCGATGGACAACACACACGTTGGGGCTAACATTAGAAGCCCGAGGTCCGCTAGGGACTGGACTCCGCCCAAAACGACGAAAGCCCTTCCCAAACCCTCCCGAAGCCCTCGGAAAAGACTCCCAGAACCCCTCCCGGAGGGTTTTCGGAGGGCATCGAGAGGGTTTCGGCTGCTTTGAAAGGAAGCCAGTCCCCAGCGAACCCCAGTCTTTCCAAGGCTGACACGCGTTCTGAGGATCGTGAACTCGTGCTCTTGAGGCGTGTTCTTCTGTCCTACACCCTAGGCGACGCTCAAGAAAACCCAAGTTTTCGGCCAGAGTCTCGATGATTCTTAATGTTTCAAGGTAGATCCTATGATTTTGCTGGAAGTTCTGGGTTGTTATTCAAATTCTGAGACTATGAATTTCTTAGCCCATGATTTCTTAAGCCTTTCGCAGGGTGCAGGTCCCGCTGCAAGCAGCACGCCGCGGCAGCCGGGCCCCCCGGAGTCTGGGGATCATGGGGGTCTACGGCCTCGCATCCTCGACGAACGGAGGAGGGAGGAGGGAGGAGGAGGAGGAGAGATAAAACGACGCGAAGATCGGGACAAAATTGGATCGGGATAACTCGAAATCTCCGAGAATCGGCGGGCTTGGAGGACGTATGGGGCGCCGCGGCCGCTCCAGAGCGTTCCGGAACGCTCTGAGAGCGCTCCGGAACGCTCTGGAGCGATTTATCCCGATCCTAGCCCTGTTTTAAGAGAGGAGGAAGAGGAAGGAGGAGGAGGAGGCGGAGGAAGAGGAGACGGAGGAGGAGGAGGGAGGAGGGAGGAGGGAGGAGGAGGAGGATGAGCACAGTCATGCAAAGATCAGGCAGCAGGACCCAAACAGCATTCATCAGTAACGCACATACACGACACGCATACGAAACAGACAGAGGATGTACACTACAGCCGCACCTTACACTCAGACATTACACTTATGCGTAACATGCCGTACAATAAACATGCA